ACACTTTTAGTAAAAATATTAGCTACTTGGTCTTTAGATTTAACATAGGGAGAAACAACCTCTCCACTTGTCACTTTCTCTCTCACGAAATGGCAAACAACTTCAATGTGTTTAGTCCTTTCATGAAACACTGGATTAGAGACAATATGTGTTGTCGCTTGGTTGTCACAAAACAATTTAATGGGTTGACAAATTGTTATAGTCATCTCCTAAAGAAGATGCTTCAACCAGACTAGTTCATAGGTAGCATGGGCCATTGCCCGGTATTCAGCTTCAACGCTACTCCCAGCAACTACGTTCTGCTTCTTGCTCTTCCAAGTAACGAGATTTTCACACAAGAAAGTACAATAACCTGTAATAGACTTCTTGTCCATCAGAGACCCTACCCAATCTACATCTAAGTACCCTACCAGAGACATATCTCCCCCTTTCTTATACAAAAGACCTTGACTATGAGCACCCTTTAGATACTCCAACACCCTCATAATACCATCCCAATGAGCAATTGTAGGATTCTACATGAATTGACTGAGGAATACACTGAAGGAGATGTTAGGCCTAGTGATGGTAAGATATATCAACTTGCCTACAAGTCTTCGATACCTTGTAAGGTCTTCTAATGGCTCTTCTAACTATCAGTCATCTTCACATTGGGATCCATGGGAGTTTCAACTGGCTTGAATCCTAACTACCCAGTTTCATCCAACATATCTAAGACATGCTTTCTTTGGGACAGAGAGATTCCACACTTCGATCGAGCTACCTCAATTCCAATAAAATACTTCAAGGTTCTTAAATCTTTAGTTTGAAAGTGTTGTTGTAGGAAATGTTTCAACTCACCAATTCCATGTGTATCATTGCTAGTAAGAACAATATCATCAATATACATTGCTAGAATGATCTTCCCAGATAACGAGTCTCTACTAAACACAAAGTGATCAACACTGCATTATTTCAAGCCAAAATCTTGCACCACACTACTAAAACAACCGAACCATGCCCGCGGTGATTGCTTCAACCCATAGATAGCCTTCTTCAATCAACACACCTTTCCTGACTCCCCCTGAGCAACATACCTAGGAGGTTGCTCCATATATACCTCCTCTTGAAGATCACCATGGAGAAACGCATTTTTGACATCAAGCTGTAATAAGGGCCAACCAAAGTAGGCAGTTAAAGAAATGAGCACTCGAACAGAACCTATTTTAGCCATAGCAGAGAAGGTTTCTAAATAGACCACACCATAGGTCTAAGTATGCACCTTTGCAACAAGTTGAGCTTTGAACCACTCAAATATTGCCATCTTGACAGTGTTTAACTGTATATACCCATCAACAACCAACAACCTGCTTCCCAGGTGGTAAGAAAATGAGGTCCCAAGTATTATTGGACTGAAGAGCATGAAATTCTTCATCCATCGCCTTCTTCCAATTTGGACATGAGAGGGCTTCCTGTAAAGAACACGATAGAGAAATAAAAAGGAAAATGAAACGTTGATGTTGGGGAGACATACCAATAAAGGGAGTGATTTGTGCAAGTACGCTTACCTTTACGAAAGGCAATAAGAAGATCAAGATCTGAGGATGGTGGATCTATCAACGGTAAAGAATCTGGTGGCATGTCAAAAGTTGGAGTTGGATCAACCACTGGCAACAATTCTGGTTGTTTACCATGTCTAGAGTTACACTCTATGAACAGATGGTCAAATAGGCTCCTCCATAGTAGGCAAGGAAATAAAGACATCACCAGAAAGGAAAGAGGAACAAAAGGAGAAGGTTCACGTTTAGAGAAATAGGGTAAACTCTCAAAGAAGTAACATCTGAAGCAACAAAAGCTTTCCGTAAAACAGGATCATAGCATTTGTAACCATTTTGAGTACGAGAGTAGCCAAGAAAAACACATCTAATAGCTCCATAGTCAAGTTTATCATGGCCTGAACCCAATTTGTGAACAAAACACACAACCAAACACATGAGGAGGTAGAGAGAAAGGTGAGGTGGAAGGAAACAAGATAGAGAAAGATGACTCACCAATAGATTTTAGGAACTAAAATTTGAATCAATAAGGCCCAATTAGTTTCAATCACATGGCGATTTTCTCTCAGCCACACTATTTTGCTAATGAATGTGTGAACATGAGGACTAATGAATTATACCATGAGAGTCAAAATAAGACTGAAAATTATTATGAAAGTATTCATTGGCATTACCGGAACGAAACACTTTAATGCATACACCAAACTAATTCCTAATCTCAGCATGAAAAGATAGGAAAATAGAAAACAATTTTGAAAGATCCTTCATTAAGTAAATCCATGTCATTCTTGAATAGTCATCAATAAAGCTACAAAATATTTGAATCCATTATAAGATGACACACGACTAGGACCCCAAACATCTGAATGGACAACTAAAGCAAAAGGACTCAAGACTCTCTTATCATCCCTAAGAACAAAAGACACTCTATGATGTTTACTCAACTGGCATGACTTACAATCTAGCTAGTTACAAACTCCAAGGTTGGTACTTGCTTTTTCAAAACACACAGAGAATGATGACCAAGACAACAATGCCACTAATATGGTGTAAGAGAGGAATGAAGAGCCTTCTGAGGACCATGGCCATCTAAGTAGTATGGCCCTCCAACTTCACGACCGCCACCAATCGTCTTCCCCGTCTTGAAATCCTGAAAGACACAATATAAAGCATAAAATGTTACTGAACAATGACGGGTTTGAGTAAGCTTACTTACAAACAAAAGACTAAAGGGAAATTTAGGAGCATAAAAAACCGAGTGTAAACTAAGGTCAGAACCAAGAAACACATTACCAGTACTAGTAATAGCGGAAGAAGAACCCTCAGCTAAGGTAACAATTTGAGAGGTAGAAGGTGGTAACAGATACAAACATATATAAGGAGCCAATGATGTGGTCTGAAGCTCCAGAATCAATTACCCAAGGTGAAGATGAAGAACTAGAAGCGAGACAAGCAATACCTGACTTCACAAGAATAGCAGTGGTAGAACTAGAAGAAGCAAACTGGCGAAGCCCTTCATACTCCTCATGTGAGATAGAGATTGTGTCTTTATCCTTACGAACATTGGAAGTAGGAGCATCTTCAGTCACACTAGACTCCCAAAATCACCTTCCATCATTGCTTGGTTAGCCCAAGAAGATGGGAGGGCCATGAAGATCATAACAAAAGTTGACTATGTGACCTTCTCGTCCACAATGTGAGCACTCACGGGCTGAACCACGACCACTACCACTACTTATTCAGTGATAGTTTTCTGCCTATGTAACTCTTTGAGTGTCTGATCTCTGTGCACATCTCCTCGTGCACCTTCTTGTCTTGAATAAAGTTAACTTTTTCTCAAAAAAAATGTTGACTTTTGTTGTTTGCACCTCTTTTTGAGTTTAACTCTATTTCATCGAACTATTTTTTACTCTATCTCCTTTTTTATTTGTACTGAAATTTCTCTTTTATTTATCATCAAAAACAGTAGGGTGTCCCTAACCTGCCTCTCTATATAAATTTTCAGCTCATGTTCTCTTAGTAAAAACACAACACATGTTTTTCATTGCTCTAATCTCATAACTTATAGAGCTGCTTCAAATTGCACACCTTCAGCTGCTAAAAGTTGCACCTACAACAAGTTTTCTAACCTAACAACTTCAAAACTTCATGTTTTCTCCACCTTAACCCACCAGTCTCCTTAAACCTACTAAAAACATTCCAAATCAATCATCAACTATTCAATACCTTTTTTTTTCTTTTTGCGAATTTGTTTCATAGTTGCAATAGCCCATCACAACTCTATGTTAGAATTTCTTCCTTGCATCTTACAATTTTTCTTGGTAATAGATAAAAAAGAAAATTTTATTAAGGGAAAAAAAGAGAAAGTGCTGCAATAGAATAGGTGATGAACAATCAACACAATTTTTCAGTCACTTAAACAATGAATAAAATACAAAAAAGGAAAAAAAACACTTGTTTAGTTCAATTCAAGAAAACTAAATCCATCTCCAATATCTTATTTTGGCACTCCTTCAAATTCTAGCAATATAAGAATCCAATCCATAATTCTTCTTCCATAAATCATTGCAACTTGAACTCTTTCTTGGTTTTGTCTTCAAATATCCTTCTTTTTCTCTCCTTCCAAATTTCCCAACAGATGGCTAAAGGGACGCAGCTCCATGAATCTTGGGTTTAGAATTTCCATGTAATGTAGGTCAGCAAGCAAATATCTCTCCCAAGGTTCTAGGATCAAAGTGTTTCAATCTAAATATACCAAAAAAGAACTCCCAAATGATTTTTGAATAAGGGCAACCAAAACAGAGGTGAAGTACATCCTACTCAGCAGCTTTGCATAAATAGCACCTCCCATCCAACAGGGTTCCTCTGTGCTGAATATGATCCACTGTAAAGATACTATCTAATGCCACCAGTCAAGGAAAAGCTTCAACCCTCGGTGGAACAGAGTTTCCTCATCAGCAAACCTTAATTCAAGATTCTCAAACACATCCTCATTCCATCTCTTCACTTCTTCCCTCAAACACCTTTTTAAGTCCTAAAAAAATAATTTGCCTTTTATCAAAACCAAAGGATGTTTACCACCTTACCAAACCAAAATGCACGGCAGCTTGCAATACTTAAAAACAAAAGGAAGGAGCACTTTCCCAACCCTCAAACATCAAATAAAGGGGGCTCTTGACCTGACATGAGACAATGAACATTTCTCTAACACTAGAATATGTTGAATTATTAACTTCTCAAGGGGATTCTAAGATATGTTATCATCACATTGTAATTCCTCTACTTAATAAGGTAAGCAAGTATCATAAAATCTTTCAAGCAGAAGATATGCAAATATTTTATAAAGGATATTTTTCTTCTCTTTATTATATAAAGGAACCTATGAAAGAGAACTTCTGAAGCCATAATTTTCATACAGGTTATGATAAGTGTACCAGAAAGAAGAAAAAGCAAAGAATTGGTAACCTGTGTGGTTTTCCCACATCCAGTCTCACCAGAAATGAGCACAACCTGCTTTGAAACATAAGACCAACAAATTCTTAGAAAATGTTAGAGAACGCAAACATTAAGCTGTGGTTATAAAAATCAACAAAGTAGGCTAAAACAGGCATAACCTTTAACTGGCACAAACATCCTACAGAGTAAGTCTGGGTTAAGAAATTATTTGCAAACGGCAGCTCAAAATAAAATTGCATCCATGATGAGTGGAGTAATCTCTGTTCTTGATGTTCAGAGATATGGATACAATCCAGATATCCAAACTTCATGCCCATCCCTGATGAAGCCAATTTCCAAAATTCATAAGATCAAAACTGTCTAGCACATGGCACTCCAGACTGATGCCCATGCATGCCACATGTTTAGTGACAAAACCAAGAAGGAAGACCCCCTCATCTTCAGAAATATAATGCCTTCAAAATTTTTATCCCTAAAGGTAAAAGATAACAGGACCTCCAATCCAATCAGAGGAAGAGAACTAAAAAAATTGCACATGTAAAAATATAAAAGAACCTGCTGAGAATCCACTGAAGATGTAATAGCATCCCTGAACGATGCAATTGGAAGCTTGAACCTGTCTTCAGTAATCTGCATGAAAGAAGCAATAATAAGCCTTCATTGCAAACCAAGATATAAGCAGAAGACAATTATCTTTCATGAGCATTTACTCCAATAACTGTCAAACATTAATAGACATTTGACATTTCCAAATATATTTGGTTGGTGGACTGAACCTGTCTCAAGTTTGCATCCTTATTTATTCTAGAAGCAAGTGCCTCCAACTTCTTTGTAATTTCAACCTTGCCCATTGATGGTTTGCAAAAACTATCATCACTCTTCCCCTGTATAATTCCAGTCCTTGCAGTATGGTTCTCAAGTTCTTTATTCTCTCCATCATCGGGAGGATACCGTGTAAATAAGTCCTGTAAAACTATTTTTGACTCTTCTGAAAATGTCAAACAAGTAAGAATTTCCTCCCCATTCATGCCGTTCCCCTTCTTCTTCTTGCTTTTGTAAACAGTAACACATCGCTGTTTGCCACGCCTGTAAAATTTGACTTTCATAGTAAACTAAATTTCAAAAATGTCAAAATCATTAAGAGGTTCAAAAAAGGCAAAACAACTATATAGAAACATGCACAGCTCATCCAGAAGATACAGCTGCGAACTGCTAAGTATGGCTGTAATCAGGTCTAATTCAGAATAGAACCAACCACATGCAAATCCAATCTGATTAGTAAAACTTAAAACCAAATACAATCTGAAATCCAGTCCGATCTAGTGGTTTCTGATCAGATTCAGATTTAATCCGAATCCACTATTATTTCAAAAAGAAAGGAAAAAATTAGAAAATTGTAAAAAGTAGGTCATTTTTACATAAATATGAAATACTGTGTTTATTAATTAAAATTATATGCACATATAAATAAGCCATGTATGTAAATCATTCCAATTTTACCAGATAAAGATATTATCTTGTATATGTAAGTATTATGCATAATATTTGAAATTTAATCAGACTCAAATCTTAATCAGATCGGTTAGGGTCAAACACACATGCAATCCAATTATTAAATGGATGCAAGCTCCAAATTAGAAGTTCAATCCGATTATATAAACCGATCATCCAAATCTGAAATAATTGGATTATATGTCAGATCAGGTGGACTTTCCCACATCAAAGCATTCTATGCAATGCAATAAATTCGACATTAGACTTATTGCAACATCTGTAACCACATTATAGATTGGATCATCTTGACTCACCCAGAACTTTTTGACACCATACCCATCTTCCTGCATAATTCATGCACCACCGCCCGTTCAGGATTTGTCAAGCCAGCTTCAAATGTGTACACTGTATGTGACATGCATGAAATAGAAATGGTGTTCTTTAGAAGTTCCCAAAGGTTGATGTGCAGAAATAGAAATATGGAGAATAATAAAAAATGATAATTATCATTGAAAGTTAAAAACCACCAACCCATTAAACCAGAGACCTACCTTCTTTTCAAACTAAACCCTAAAAATAACAAGTAAACCAAATAATGGAACTCAAGTAATACAAAGAAAATACATAGATTACATTGAATAGAACACTGAATTTTATTCAATTAAAAATTATACAAAGAAATTACATAAAATACATTGATTAGGCTGGCACCAGATACCTAAAACCTGAAGAATATATACAATTAAAGAGAGCATAGACATAACTATCCCTCCCCAAACATTCTTTTCAACTTAGCCCACAGCAAATGATCTCTATTAACCCCTCGTTTGGCTAATGCATCAGCAATGCCATTAACCAATTCTGGCACCAATTGAATCCTAACTTGAATATCTTTAATCATGCACTTTGAACTTCTTAATCTCATTTCTATACATCCAATGAACCCTCTCCCTATTGAGTGAGCAGACAGCTAATTACTACCTTAGAATCACCTTCTATAAGCAATTTATTCATGTTCATTTCAGTTGACTTCTGCACACCTTGCATCACAACCATAAGCACAGCCTTTGTAGAATCTCCCTCTCCCACTGTACCTGAGAATAAAGTCACCACATGACCCTCTTCATTTCTAAAGGCCTTCCCTGTTCCTGGTGGTCCTAGGTTCCCAAAGCTGCTATTATCAGAATTCAACTTTATAAAGCCATTCTCTGGTGGTGCCCCTCGCCCATGTATCAGACTTTTGTTAGGTTAGGTTCCAGGCTTCCAGCCACTTCTCCCAAAAACAAACAAAATTCCTTTAACATACAACATACCTAATTAAACTGAGGGGAGAATACCATGGGTAGCCTTCTAGGGTGCTATTAATGTAGCACGACGTGATACCCTATCATCCCAACCATTTTCCATGCAGCCATGAATGCTTGCCACACTTCATGCCACAAAATTTCTCTCTATAAGAGCCATCTTCACAACCATTTCCATAATTGAGCTACATTCTTTTTAATAACATTTCCTATACCCAGTCCACCACCCTCCTTGCACCTACACACCATCTCCCACTTGATTAAATGGTACTTTTTACTTTTCCCATTTCATAGAAAATCCCTCATTACATTCTCTAGCTTCTTAGCTTCCCTAGAAGGAATCCTAAAAACTGAGAGGAAATTAATCGATAAACTGCCAAGTGTGGCTCTTATGAATGGGATCCTGCTTCCTAAAAAAATACAACTTTTTCCACATAGCCAATCACTTTTTAAACTTTCAAAAATTGGGAAACAAAATCTAGCCTCCTTGGGGTTAGCACCTAGAGAAAGGCCTAGGTAAGTCATAGGCCAGGAAGTGGCGAAACACTCAAGACATAACAATAATATGTCCCTATCCTCCACATTGGCTCTAGCGATTTAACTCTTTTAAAGGTTGATTTTCCTTTTTTGTAATAAATAAAACAAGAAGAACTACTCAAAAGAATGATAGAAGTACAAGGAAAGGTGATAAGTTATCAACCACTAGAAAAAAGAAGAAAAGCTCAACACCCTCCAAACATTTTTTTTTTGATAAATAAAATCACATTTCATTAAGATCAAGAGGAAAATACAGACCCTTGGGGAGGTGTGATGCTGCCTCTCCAACACATGAAATCCAAATAACAAAACTATAAAATTAGAACAAGGAGTACAAGAGTGTTACTACAATATTACAGTTTAGCCCAAAATAATGTTTCCCTATTTGTCCCTTGTTTTGTCAAAATATCAGTGAGGGCATTCGCTGATCTTTAAGGCTATGTTTGGTTTGAAGGTAAATGTAGGGAAAGGAAGGGAAAGGTAGGGAAACCTTTACAAACATTGTATTGGTTTCCCTGTCTTTCCCTACCTTTTCCTTCAAACCAAACATAGCCTAAAGAACAACTTTGAGCTACTTCTCAAACTTCTACAAAAAGATCCAAACACCTTTCCAAGAAGACATAAAATGTGTAGATATATTTTTTTCCAATTCCAAAAATGCTTTTCGAGCAAATTCCTCTACACCCAAAAAACGCAACCGGCAATCACGTAGGCCTAAAATCTTGCTCACTTGAACCTCCATTCTTTTTTGGGAAGATATTTGGGTGAGTACTCAACCCCTAAAAGACCGCTTTCCTTCTCTCTATTCCATCTCCCTCTTTAAAAAGAAACCAATTTCATGGTTTCTTCCCCCCCCCCCAGTTCGCCCTTTGGATTTAAACTGGAATTTTGGGTTTCGAAGAGGGTTAAGGGATAAAAAAACTTCTTTGTGTTTCAGAGTTCTTGTTGCTTCTAGACTCAGTGTGCCTGGACCCCCCTAACCTAGACAAAAGGGTTTGGTCTCTAACCTCGGTTGGCTCCTTCACTTGTGCTTCTTTCTTTAAAGCCCTCTGCTCCAATCCCTCCTCCCAGGTGTTCCCTGTTAAAGAGGTCTGGTCATGGCCAATTCCTCCTAAAATAGCAATGTTCTGTTGGGTAGACTACTTGGGTAAGATCAATACAGTGGAAAACTTGCAAAACAAGAAACCTTACTTGTGTTTGTCACCAAATTGGTGCTTCTTATGTAAAGTGAAGGGTGAGAACTGTAACTGTTTATTGATATCGTGCTCTTTTACTGCCAATATTTGGAACTAGGTTGTTGCACTATTTGGGTGCAGGTGGAACTTGCCCTCCGAAGTAAAGCTGCTGTTCGTTCCGGCTGCCTTTGGGAGATTGACAAAAAGAGGGAAGATAATGTGGAAATGTATCAGAGCCGCTACCTTGTGGACTTTATGGGAGGAAAGAAATGCTAGAATATTTCAAGAAAAGGAAAGAAGTCTTGCTGAAATTAAGGAATGCATAATGACAAGGACAGTCTCGTGGCTAAAATCTTCACACTTGTTGGCAGATTACTCCTTTGATGACTTAAGGAGAAACTGGGCAGCAGTGGCTTCTACAGTCCCCACAAAGAACAAATCACAAGCTGAATGGGAATCCCCACCGGATGGAGTGGTAAAACTAAAATTTGATGGTAGCTGCCAAGGTAACCCAGGGCCATCTGGAATAGGAGGGATTCTGAGAGACAAAGATAGCAACATGTTGTCTTTATTTTCAAGACCAGTGGGTGTTGGTGATTCTGTAAGGGCAGAGATACTAGCAGTGGTACAAGGTATACAGATGGCCAATCAACTTGGAGTGAATAATTTGATAGTAGAAGGGGACTCCAAGGTAGTAGTGGGCTGGTTGACAAGTCCAGAAACAGCTTGTTGGGGCTACAGGGATCTGTTAAAGAAAGTTAAATGGCTGACAAGGAATATGTCAATCAGGTTTCAGTGGGTCAGCAGATCAGCAAATGCAATGGCTGATTCTTTGGCCAAGCAAGGGGTGTCAAGGGGAGATCTGTTTTGGGCCACTGTAACTGTGTTTCAGGCTTGTGTTTGTTTAGTGTTTATGACTGTCCTAGGGGGAGGTAACACCTCGTGCCACTTCCTAGGCTGAATGTACTACTATTTTTTGAATTAATAAAACTATTCTCATTTATCAAAAAAAAAAAAACAATTTTTTCAAGACCGAACTCCCCTTCCATCTCCCTCACTTGACCAATAATCACCTCCTCATCTTCTCTTGGTCTTTATCATCCCTTTCATCGACTTTAATCTCTCCTTCCACATCTTCCCAGCCCAACCCAATTTCTTCTCCTTGAGAATATGGAGTCATTTTCAACTTCCTTTTCTTAATCTTCCTCACTCTTTAAGAGCACAACTTTTCTTCTCATCACCTCTCTGAATTTTATTTTTGGTCTTCGCTCCTTCTTGTAGACCCCCTTAAATCTATTACATGGACGATGTAATACTTTAGTAACATGAATTAAGTGTCCAACATTTGTTCCTTTCTTATTTTCACGTTCTCTAGTAAGTTGTTMCCCCTCCAGCCACTTGTGACCTTTTCTTGCCTCAAGTCAACCCCTAATTAGACCACAAACACCTCTCCCTCACTTGACCAATAATCACCTCCTTGTCTTCTCTTGGTCTTTATCATCCCTTTCATCGACTTTAATCTCTCCTTCCACCTCTTCCCAGCCCAACCCAATTTCTTCTCCTTGAGAATATGGAGTCATTTTCAACTTCCTATTCTTAATCTTCCTCACTCTTTAAGAGCACAACTTTCTTCTCATCACCTCTCTGAATTTTATTTTTGGTCTTCGCTCCTTCTTGTATACCCCCTTAAATCTACTACATGGACCTGCCCCCAAAAGACCATCCTCCAGACGATTTAAAACTTTAGTAACATGAATTAAGTGTCCAACATTTGTTCCTTTCTTATTTTCATGTTCTCTAGTAAATTGTGACCCCACCAGCCACTTGTGACCTTTTCCTGCCTCAAGTCAACCCCTAATTAGACCACAAACACCTCTGTAATCTTTCCTTAAGTATTCAACTCTGACTCTCCTACCAACAACTTAGGATCACAAAGACTCCCCCGCTCCTCCTTTACCTCATATTGACATGTACAAGCCTACCAGACTCTGAATCTGGAACAACATCAAACTCTAAACAACAAACATCCATTTCTGCTTCGAACTGCCTCTGGTTCAGATCTTGAACACATTCTTCTTGATTATGCACCATGACTAACCTGGAAATAAGAGAGGTTGTTTCATTTGGATCAACCACACCTGATAGGAACTGTCGCCCCACCCAACAACAGCTCTGTCCCTTCCATCCTCTTTAACAGACCTTGCCTTCTTCCTTTGTCCAACGTCCTGAGATTTTCTTTAAAATGAAAATCCACTTCATTTCGAGAAAACACCGCCTTGTTTAAAGTACAAGCTGTCTCTGACATCTCCTGGCCAGCCTCAATCTCTGTTGAAACATCTCCCCATTTTGCTGAAACCTTTTCTTCCTTCTACACAAATCTAGTAATAAC